TTATTCCGGTCCCGGGGATTAAACTCAGGTTGTCAGGCTTGCAGTAAGCACCTTTACCTGCTGAGCCACCTCTCTGCCCGGCAAGTAGTTTTCTATCATCTGTTTTCAGAAAGACAACTCTTTGTGTCGTGTGTTGAGAGCATGGCATCTAATATTTCACTGTGCCTCGCATCTATTCAACACCCTCCCGCATCCAGACAGTGTTGCATGCACACCTTCTGCAAGTGTGCCACGTGCCTTTTGCAGCATGCTGAACTCCTGTGTGACTCTTTCCTTTGGATGGGGTTGCCTCGCAGCTGGCATTCTCTAGACCTTCCGCTGTGCCAGCACTTAAGAATTGGGATTCAAAGAAGCCTGTAAACTCCAGATGTTAAAATGGTATCTGCATTCACCTCCTGGGGCCGAGATAAAGTGTTGCCAGCATTGGACTGTGTTCCCTCGGGAGGATGGGTGAGGAGAGGCAACTCTGCACCTATGCAGCACACACCTCCTCAACTCCAGGGCGGGTCCAGGGTGGGTCTGCAGTCCTCAGAAGGACCTGTCCGTGATCCCTTGGATCCCTCCACGACCTCTGCCCCACAGAGGCTTCTCTGCCCCGCTGGCCCCTTTCTTCTTATGAGGACCCTGGTCAGTTTGGATTTAGGACACTCCACTGCTCCAGTATGACCTCATCTTGACCAAGAACACCGCAACAGCTCTGTTTTCACACCAGGGACTTACGACATCAATAGGGAGATGCAGTTTGGCCTGAATGGCACCCATTTGAACTTGCTGGTGTCCAGTGATGGGAGTTCATGCCACTGGCTGAGAGATCACACTGTGACTGGGTGTTCACGCCACTGGCTGAGAGTTCACACTATGACTGGGTGTTCACACTACTGGCTGAGAGTTCACACTTGTGACTGGAGGTTCATACCACTGGCTAGGAGTTCACACCAGTGACTGGGGGTTCATACCAGTGACTGAGAGTTCACACTGGCAGCTGGGAGTTCACACCACTGGCTGAGAGTTCACACTGGTGATGGGGGTTCATACCAGTGACTAAGAGTTCACACTGGCGACTGGGAGTTCACACCACTGGCTGAGAGTTCACACTGGTGACAGGGGTTCACAGCATTGGCTGCATGTTAAATCTGAAGGATCGGTTCTCATTTTTCAACTTTCTCTTTCTGGATGCCATCCAAGACCTCTCGTTGAAATGATGCAGCCCAACCTGTTTAACCTAAACTTGAGAATTGGTGGTTAACACAGGCAGGTGCAAAGGGCGAGACAGACTGAGCCATGTGGGGTCCTGACACCATGCTGTCCTACTGGCCTCCTTCTTTCCCCCAGTGCCTCAGCTCGGCTTCCTCGGCTGGTGTGGCCTTGGTTGCCATTCTCCTTCCCTCTGTAGCCGTGTTCGTGCTTTCACTGTGTTCCCCACAAAGCATGCCTGGAAACCTGATCCCACAGCTGAGAGTGGGGAGGTGTCCCATGATGAGCTCTCCCACACAGCTGGATCAAGGTTATTAGCAAGAGGGGTTCCTTGTGAGACAATGGCTGGATTCTGCCTGCCATCATGGGCTGGCACAGAGGTAGACCCTCACCGGGCGTCTGTCTCTGCCTTGGACTTCCCGGCCTCTTGCACAGGAGAGGATGTGTCTGCCCCCTGGAGATGCCTTGCTTTGTGCTTCCTGGGGTCTGTGACAACAGAATACAGTGGTTTCAGAGACAGGCTACCTTCTTCCAGCTTTCGGGGTCACAGCAAGATGTCGACTCCCATAGCTCCTGTCTGTCTCAGGGATGCCTCTCATCAGCCAGGGAAAGTTGCACTTACACTCTGGGAGTGGGGTATCAGTCAGCCACCCAAACCCCAGAAACAGCGGGAAAGAGCTGGCTCCTGGAAGCTAATACCAAACAAAGGAGCCAGACTTTTTTGGTGGACGCAAATCAAGAGATGCCCAAGGTAAAAAAATGCTTTTTCTATTTATTCAGATTGCTCTTTCAATATTAAGGGTTTTGGGCCTTTACGTCTTCCTTATCTATATTTTTTTCTTAGTTTGCCTTCGTGGGTTTTGTTCCCCCCGAGGCCCGAGGCTGTCTCTGAGTCTCAATGTGACCGTGGTAGCCTTGCTCAGAAGCTTCATTGCACAACCAGAGTTCGTCAGCAGCCATGTTCTCAGGGTATGAACAATGCCACTGAAGGAAGGAGAACACACAGCTAGTGGTCAGCAAGTAGCTGGCATTGAGACACGTACCGTCATTCACACAGACGTCACAGGTGAATGTTAGAGCCAAGAAGCCATGGCTGCCCCCGCTGAAGGTCAGTGGGGGTGGTAAGAGCCTCTGTGTGCGGAAAGAGCAGACACCAAGGGCCGCTCCACCCAGTACACAAGTCCTCACTCAATCTTAAGAGGCGATAAGAAATGTAACTTTGATCTGGTTAGCCTTTTGATCGAGCTGTGAATTAAAGGCAAACAGGTGGTGCTCCTCACCCGGAGGCTGGCACTGCCCTGCGTGGGAGGAACCAGGTGGAACCAGGAAGGGACGAGAAGTCTGGATGGCACAGTGTACCCTCCAGTTGCAGGACTCTGTTGGCACCTGGCTATTCCCCTTTTTATGATTTAAATTCAAGAGTCACAGGAGAGGAAGAGAAGGGAGAGGAGAAGAGGAGGCAAGCAGATGGGTCTGTCAGTGAAGGCCCTTGAAGGTCTTGCTCCTCACTGCATAGCTTTGCATGGCTGGGGGAACAACGGGGAAGTATCCCCAGGGAAAGTACCCTATTCGTGTGGAACCGTGTCCCCCAACCTGCAGGGAGACCCCCATGAGGGCCCAGCTGACTCTGGCTATGGGGGCTGACCTGTCCACCTACAGACACTACCCAGGAAGGAAAGATGTCACAATGACGGACAGCAATCCCTTGGAGGTGACTTAGTCTCGGGTGGGAACAGCCAAGACATGAACAACAGAGAGAGACAAGTTAGAGGTGGGGGGGGCATGGACTACAGGACACCATTGCAGCCTGGAGGACTCAGTACCCGAGTCCCCTGTGCTGCAGAAATAATGGAGGGAAGGGAAGACAGAAGAGGGTGGGGGAGGGAGGGAAGGGAAGCTAACCTGGCATCGCTCAATGTCACAGTGACACGGGTGTACTACGCACGTTCATGCTGTGTCCATAGCTTAAGTAGAAGCTGGAAGCCAGCGGAGGGAGGCTTCCAAGAGCCGCTTCACTAAGGCGAGCAACCTGCCCTCCCAGGTTCCCGTGTCTCCTCTGAGGGAGACTGGGACAACCTGGCTTCCCACATGGCTCTCCTGCAGAGGTGCACACCCCTAGATGGGCAAGACAAAGCTCAGACACTCAGTAAGCGTTTGCCGGCTCACTATTTGCCAGCCTCGGTGCCCCCTCCTTCATGTTATTAGTAGTCTCTCAGCCCCACCCCCACCCTGCTACTCTCTCTGTCCAGGTAAGGCCACCCCATGCCCTGTAGGGGGAGGGGACCTGATGAAACAGGTCATACCAAAGCCACCACACCACAAATGCTGTAATGGAGTAATGGGAGCGAGAAAGAGGCTCAGCTGGATGTCATGGGCTAGGGTGAGGGCTGGAGGCTGGGACACTGAGGACACTTAGCCCCAGTAAGATAAAGCAGAGTATATTCAGTTGGCATGACTTCCCCAAGTCCTCCCTGTTTCCAGCAGCCTGCCCAAGGGAAGTCAGAGCTAGATGGGACGTAGAAGTCCTCACCAACACCGGGAGACTCCTTTTATGGAGAAACCTTGGATCCTCAGTTTATATAAAGCCCTGTATAAGCCCAGGCACAATCAGGTGCTTCCTGGGGGGGTCTCTGGGGAGGTTGGTCCACAATGATGTTGCTGCTGGCTTCAGTACCCAGAGTGCAGCACAATGGGCTTACAAGACCACTGTCTAATAGATGGTGGGTTAGTACATAATCACCGCACAGATGAACCTCTGTGCACGCTGTGTTTCCTTTTTTTGTGTGCACATGTGAATATGCATGTGCTTGCTCGTGTATACACACGTGTACGTTTATATGTACACAGGATTGTGTGTGTCCTTTGTGATCCTATGTCAGCGGCCACGAATGTGTATTTGCCGTGTGTATACCTGTGCTTGCAAGCACCCATGCCCACATCCATGCATTTATGCATGTAGTGTACTGAGCGTCGGATTCTGCCTGTGCTCATGCCTGCTCCTTTTATTTACCCTGGAGCCTGGCGAGAGCGCCCAACTGCTGGGGTGGAGAGGTCAGGGTGAGTCAGCCTAATTGGAAACGAACAGGAAAGCGTGAGGTCATCATGTTGGACGAGACACCGCTGCATGGAGGGCGAGGGTCAGCGCTGCGTACTTCAGCTCCATATCAGAATAGCGTCCGGAAAGTGACTGCGATAGAGGTTCCCACCCTGAGACACTCGTAAAGGAGAGCTCCAGAGAACCAGGTCAAACGTCCCTCCTCCTTAATGACCCGTCCTCGTGGCAAAGCATGACGCTCTAGCTACTGTTTTGGCCGAGGGAGGGTGACACACACACACACACACACACACACACACACACACACACACACACGCACACACACACACACACACCCGACGTCGACCAGGAAGTTTCTCTCTGTTTCCAGCCTGCTCCATGCTTTGTGTCTGCCTTCTGCTCCGGTTGCCCCATCAGCCCTGGGCAGTCTGCTCAGCTCAGATCCCGGGCAGCGCAGAGGGGCCCAGGTGTGGTTAATGAGGTGAAATACAATGGTGTTTATTTGGTCTGTGCCCATTCGTCTCTGATTGACAGCAATCTGTACTCAGCCCATCTGAGACCCCCAAGAGCAAAGGTCAGCCAACAGGAGTAGGAGCTGGCCATGGCTGCCTGGCATCACCGTAGGGCTATGCTCTACCTGGGGCCCCAGAGGGCAGACACTGTTGCACACAGCACTCGGCTGTTCTCAAAGCTTATCTGTCCTTCGATCTCCACAGCCCCATTGGGGATCGATTGGATTCCTGAGATGGGCTCTAAAAACAACTTCCTTTATTCATATCCAGGCTCAGGCCTGCCCTTGGGTAGGGGGAACCCATGCTAAGCCAAGTTCTCTGTGGACAAAGCAGGCAGGGCAGAGCAAAGTGGGGGTTGCAGGGCCGTACACCTGGCCTACTGGTTTGTGGCCTGCTTGAACCCCAAGGGCATGGGCGGGGAGCTGGGATGAGTAGTGGTCTCCCCTCTACCCTGTTGACACATCCAGACAGCAAAATCCAGAAGGAAGGGCCGACCCAAAGACCGAGTGTACAAGTGAGGCAGAGACAGACAGTCCACCCCTTTGTCCACCAAGTCCCTTATCACAGGACTTGGTGCCAACACTGTCAAAACACTCTTGTTTGTCTGTTTCTTTTCCAGAGCTGAGCTCATTGACCCCACCTGAAGGTGGAAATAATGTTAGCTAGAATGAAGGGCATTTTATCATTGCTAGAGTTGTGGAATGTCCTAGAACTCAGATCAGTAACTGAGCCATTCCTGGTTGCTGAAAGTAGTTCTTCTCTGCCTCCAGAGGCCTCGAGATGGGGCTATGTGTGGGGTGCCCTTTTAACCCCAGAAGTAGCACTATCTATCTGTATCTCTGCCCAGCCAAGCAGAGAATGCTGGGAAAATCCCATCAGCAGCTGCATCTCCTCCAGCGTGACCACTGGGGTTTCCTGGGGAACCCACCTGAGGAAGTCTGATCTGTTGAGGTCTAAATTGAAACAACATGCAAGTTATTGAGAAGTTACGTAGTGGTTGCCAAGAAGACTCCCTTCCAGCGTGGTCTCACATTTTCTCCTGTGTACCATAAGTCACTTCAGCTGGGGTCCAGCGGCATACAGGCTCCAGATGGGGCAGTCATGACTTCTAAGGAACTCTGCCTCCCAAGGGGACAATCAGATGGCTTGCCCCAGTGGATGCCTCGAGGGACCAGTGATGGGCTGCCTCACATACAAAGCCACCAATTTTAGTTATATGCTCTTGCCTGGTCTGCGCTGCCGTTGGTATCACTGTCAGCCAGGAACTTGCAGGGCCTCCTGGGGCAGAACACATTAGGCAGAAAGCAATGCAAATTCCACAGAAAGTGAGGGGACAGATGTCCCAGCATTGTTAGGGGCCAGGCTCTGGGAACTCGCTATTACCTCACTGAGATGTCAAACGAGTTTGCTAGCACAGCAGAACAAATGGCCACAAAGCCAGGTAGTGGGTGGGCCGGTAATCCCAGCCTACCCACCCACTCATGAAGGAACCCGTGGGAATTCAGAAGCCTTTGCAATGCAGGCTACAGACCCCACCTGCCTCCAGCCAATCCACCGGAAAGGGAGGGAGGGAAAGAACTCTTCAGAGACTAACACCACGGGAGTCTCGTGCCAATGTCCTGAGGTTGAAGGCTCCTCCTACCAGGTTCACTGTCTCCTGGATCCTGAAGCTGGAAGTCCAAGGCCAAGCTGTGGCAGGGCTGGGTCTCCTGAGGCAGCTCTCTTTTACCCGAAAATGAATCCTCACTGGTCTTTCCTCTGTGTGTCATGAAGACGCAGTCCTGATGGCTCCGGTCCACACTTAAGGCTTTGTTTGGTCTTAAGTACCCCTGTGAGGACTCCATCTCCAAATGATGCTCCTGTTTGGTCTTGAACAGATGGATTTGTGTGGACTCATATGCGACAGCCCATGAAATTTCTCCTTCTGTGGCTCTGTGATCAGGCTGTGTCCAGCTGTGGGCAAGAATTAGCATTTCCACTGAACTGCACAGGCCAGAGCTCCTGAGCTCCCAGAATATGCTGATTGGGGACCATTTTGCCCCTCCTGTCCCTTCTGCTTTGCCCCTCAGGGTCCAATTTGGGATAGGCAGTGTGGGCTCTGGCTTTTCTGGGTCCGATGTGGCCTGGGCTTGCAGTGTAGGTAGACAGTGGCCCTGAAGGTGGCTAGGAGCTGTTAGACACCTGAAGTTAGGAGAAGTTAGGGGCAGTTAGACACTATGACAAGGCTCTGCTTTTCCTGTGCTCACCAGCTCTGGTGATCCGGAGATATCAGCAAGGCTCTAACCAGGGTCACCCTAGGCCTGTCGGCTGCCAGGGCACAGTCAACTGTGTGTGTTCAACTTCATGTCAAATTAACATAAAATACAGTTGGTGGCCCCTGCCAGCCAACAGAAACTTTGTATCCCTCCTCTCTGCATCAAATAACTTTCCCAAAAGAACAAAGTCCACGAAGGCCAGTTTGGGTGGCACCACAGATGGGCGGGTACCGAATAAGCACCCCCCCCCCCCCAGCCAAACAATAAAAACAGAAGAGGCAGGCAGGCCAGATAGCCACGTAAGATCCCTGGGTTGTAGCCACAGCAGTTATACTGAACTCTTTTTTTGAAAGCTGTACTCTGCAAAATGTCTTTGGGGGAAAAATCAATTTGAATGAGCCAGCATGTCCACAGAAGACAGTGGAAGGACCAGCCACATTAGATTAGGGGTGGAAAGCCATGGCTAGAGTTCAGATAGGCAAAAGGGCATTCCCTGGAACAGTGTCAGCTTGGCCCCCACAGCAGCTTCTCGGGCCAGAGGCTAGGTGCCCTTGGCTTCCCAAACTCTTCTCTCTCTGTCTGGTCCTTCTGCAAGGGGGCCTTCATGAAGGGTGCAAGGCAAGATGGGAGGGTCTGTTGCATTTCCAGAAGGTTCTTTCTGGAGTCATGTGTGAACCTAGGAATTTCTCTGGCTTGTTTGGCTTCCTCCATTGAAATTTGCAGTTGGGGCCCCTGTTGGCAAGGCCTGGCGGATCCTGCAATCTGATCATTTCTTTCACTGTGCAGTGATTCCAGCCTTCCCAGTAAAGCTAGAACCAGGCTGGTTCCCAGTGTTCTTTCTGATATGTACCCTGTTCCTGCCTGGTGGAGGCAACGCTCCAGGGCCCTCATCTCCCTCCCAGCTCCCCACTCCTCGGAGCCTCTGGTGCTGCAGCACCCACAGCAGCTGGTATTTACTCACGCCTCCTGCCCAGCCCCAGCTCTCAATCTCCACAGTTCTCTCTGACTAACGTCTGCTGTCCTTTCTACTTCACAGGGGGGAGGAAATGAAGGTTCAGAGAAGACCAAGAATGCTTCTCAGCTGAAGGAGGCGTCGCTAGGATTTGCACCCACGCTGTTGCACCTCGTCCCAAACTTCCGCTTGGCCATCTGTCTTCCAGAAACCCTCTGACAGCACATCGGGCAGATGCCTTGGGGTGTTCCTCAGAGACCTGTGTGGAAGTCCAAACACTGCTGGTGCCCCAGAGAGAGGCGCCTGAGGGAGTTCCTCTGTTCTGTCCCTGGGGAAGCCTGTGGGGACTCCAGGCTGGGGCTGTGCCCTGGCTGCGGGCGTGTGACTGGCATCCTCACACCTGGGGCAATCCAGCCCCCTTTGACTCCCACCATGCCTAGTTCCAGGCCTGGAGAAAGACAAGAGGGAGGCTGGTGGCTGGGCCATCTTTTAAGGGGAGGCCAGTGGAAACAGGGAGACCCCTTGACAACCAAGATGCTGTTCTGGGAGTGTACGTAAGCACTGGGGATCACCCAATACCACCCTTTGTGGATGGTACCCACCATGCCCTCCAAGTCCTCAGTGGATCAGTCCCGAGATTCACTACTTCCCACTCAAGATCCTCTGAAGACACTTAGAGGGTGAGAATTAATCACACAGGCTCAAGGGTCATATGGGGCAATAGGTGCCCGTGAGAACCAGGCCAGATGGGATATGGGATGCTAATACAGGTGAGAGATACCGCACCAACTACTGACCATTATGACATTATAACCCATCATGGCTATTCCAATCACTCTAGTCTTCCAGTCCTGGAGACGAGCAACTTACAACTTCTTTATCTTAATCCCTGACAGGGGCCCTACTGTCCCCGGAGAAACAGTCAGATGCAATTTAAGTCAATTCCTAGAGACATCCAAGAGTTTCCCTACAGGGTGTCTTTCAGCTACTACCTGGCCAACCACAGTTCTTAGCCCTCAAGTCATCCAGACCACCATTTCTTGCACTTGTCACACACCACACGTGACAGTTCACACTCTCTTGCCGGCCTGACCTCAGCTGCTTGCTTGTCTGGCCTCACCATAGAAACTACACTTGCCCCCTGCCCACCTTTCTTTCCCTGGCTCCCTCTACTTCCTGGCTGACTCCTGGCTATCCTGTGTGGCTTCCCTTGGGGATGGCTTCTCTTAGAGTCTAACAAGCTCCTTTATTGGAAACAGTCATGTCCCTGGTGTGTTGGCTTTGCCACCCACTACTCCATGATGATAAAGCTATGTTTTACCTGACCTGTAGCTCACATGAGAGACTGAGGCAGAAGGACTGTGAGCTATGTAACAAGACCCTGTCTGAGAGAGAGAGAGAGAGAGAGAGAGAGAGAGAGAGAGAGAGAGAGAAAATGAGAGAGAGAAAGAGTCAATGAAAGAGACAGAGATAATGAAAGAGAGACAATGAGAGAGACAATAAAAGAGAGAGAGAGAGAGAGAGAGAGAGAGAGAGAGAGAGAGAGAATAAAAGCCGAGAAAACAGGGTCTAGAAACTTCTGCCCCAGAAGCAACTCAGTGGTCATGTTTGGGAACAAAATCTTGCAATCCCTGGCCCAGGCAGACATGGGGGTGCCTGTGGCTAGGGCAAACCTTACCCACAGGAACTCCACCGACCTTGTCCCCCACCTCCTCATGTGTTCCTCTCACCACAGCCCTAGGCAGTGGTGCAAGCCCCACAGTTCTCCAGAAATCCACTGAGGTGACCACAGAGGGGCTCCGGGTATGATGCAGGGCTTTTCTCAAGTGTAATTTGAACTACTTTCAGTCTGATCCACTGTCTAAGGTAAGTGGCTGAAAGCTGGCTGCGGACTTGGTGAGACAGGCTCACAACCTAAGCCAGCAGCCAGCAGAGGTCTATCAGGACCTTTCCCACGCTACCGACCTTCACAGGACTCCACTTCCACATTCTTTGGATGGTAAGGGTCCTGTCCACTAATCCCACTACCTTCTCTGCTCAGCTAGCAATAGCATAGAGCCTGGCTGGCTACAGGCACCCTCACCTGTCACCCTGCCCACCTTCTCCACCCCCAGCCCACACTGACTTGGCTGCATTAATCCTACAGCCAGCCCTCTCCCTGAGTCTCTTTGCAGTTCACATCCCCCCACCCCCACCCCCACACCTTCCATGACCTTGTTGTCTAAGCTGTTCTAACCCGTGGTCAGTCCCCTTTGTCACAGAGACAAACGCTGCTTCCACGAGTCCCCTGGTCTGTCCTTCGTCTAAAAGGACAATCCTGTCTTCTCTCCATGTACTGCCTAGTTGGAGTGCAGGGATCACTTTCCGGAATGTGGGGGACAAAGAGAAGCAGGTCTAAGGAGGCTTGAGACTCCTGCCCCTGGGTGATAGGTAACTTCATAAGCCTGGGCTCTGAGGACCCAGATGGAAGGCTATCTATAGAAGGCGTGAGGCTGCCCATCAAGAGTACATACCCTAGCATGACCTATTCTCTCTTTGAGGGCCCTGGGGTGGACTCCGGGGCCAGTGCCTGTGGGTGGGACTGTTCTGCAGATGTCACCTGGCTGCTGTTAGTGGCATATTTGGCTGTCGATTCTGGGGCTTAGGGACTGTGGCTAGAGGTTCTGACCATTCCAGGTCTTTTTCTATAGGATGATGTCAACTGTCCCACCGAGCTCCACCCCATGACAACAGGATGTCAAATCCTGGTGACTCCACTCGGTACCACCAGTTTCCTTGACTTTAACGTGAGTGCCGTAGAGTCAGAGACTGCCCTCGGCTCCAGTGACACAGGAGGAATTTGCTAAGGAATTTTCCCCCCCTGGAACTTTCCGTGGCTGTTGGACAGCTGGCCTGGGGAGCAGAGTTACCCCAGTACCACAACAACAAAGAATCGAGCTTCAGTGGAGGCTGCTCCCCTCCCTACCACCCTCACAGGGGCTGGGCTCTCACTGTAACCCTGTCCCCGGGGACACATGTGGGCTGATGAGCCCTGGCCCTGCACCGAGTGGGTGGGTGACACCTGAGTGGCCAGGAATAGGCGGGGCCTTTGAGAATAGAGAAAGGTCCCTGAGAATATGACTGTCATTATTAGCTTCACCCTGTGGAAAGAGGGTTTCAGATGTCCCAGACAGGTGGAAAAGCAGTCTGCAGTCTTCAGGATTTTTTTGTATGGCTAAGTGTCTAAGTTGCCACCATCCGGGGGACTCAAGAAGCAAGAGTGTGTTCTCTGTTGTCCTGGAGGCTAGGGAGCAAGACCATCTGCCTCTAACAGCTCCAGGGAGGGTCCCTCCTGTCACTCCAGCCTTCTTGTCACATGCTGCCTTCCTTCTTCATGTGAGACTGTCAATCTAACGTCCCTCTTCTTATAAGGACATGATCATTAGATAGGACCACCCTATTCCAGCGTGACCTCATCTGAAGCAACACTTCCAAAAGACCCTATTTCCTAATGAAAATGAGGTTCGGGGCTGACCTGGACTTTTAGGGAACGTTACTTAATAAAATGTGTGGGTTTGTTTATTTATTTATTAAGACAGGACCTACTTATATAGTACACAATAACATCAACCTTAGAATACTCCTGCCTTCCCCTCCCAGGTGCTGGGATTGTGGGTCACCATGCCCACTACAGTATATATTCTAAGAAAACCAAATTCTCAGCATGATGCACCCGGAGCCCTGGCTATGTGCCCGGCCCTGGATTCCAGTTCTTGAGGTCCACTCAGAGTCACACTGGGTAAGCCAGCCCCTCCCCAGCACTGCCATCTCTGGAACCTCAGAGAAACGCTAGCCACAGAAGGCTTTGGGCACTGATCCTTCCCCAGGTCCAAGGCAGACTTTACAGAAAAAACAGGGTCACGAGCAGCAGATATCCCTGGTAGGATCCTGTGTAGCAGCGCCAAGTGTGGCCAGGGACTCAGGAGACCAGCGGC